GTAAAATACAGATTCAATAATCATGAGACCCAAATTGCTAAAATACATGAGAATGGGATTATAGAAGTAGCTGTCAATTTGGAATTGGATACATTTTCCAAGTGAAAGAAAACAAAACCCTTCTGAAACATATTTTCCAGCCCACAAATATATTTAAATTTACCAAGCCCTATTATAGGAATTAATTTGGATTTTTTTTAATGTATTCTTTTGAAAACTGCATAGCCAAGTACTATGCAACCCATGTAAATTGACCTTGCTATTTTACACAGCATAGCCTCTGGATAGCTTCTATCACTCACCCAGATGGTGTTTAGCCTATGTATTTTAGTAGAATGGTTTATTTTCTCCTTGATAGGTTTCAAATGCACAAGAAAACATTATACCCGTCTATCTGCATTTGAGTAGAATACAAACTGACTAATAGATAAACATTCTGTGTGAAAGTAAATAGCCTTAAAGTATACTGCCTTCACATTCCATTGATCAGCTCAGTCAGCAAAGTTTTCCATATTGTCACTAATGCTCTAAATATTTTGGAGAGAAGCATACCAGAAGTGTAGATTATTTCCATTCATGTCACATATAGGGCCATTATGAACTACCCTCTTGAATTCCTATTGATCCTTCTACTGAAGCAGTGTTCCTTCACTTCCTTTTTGTCCCTGTTGAAAATGTTATTGCAGTTGTGAAGAAGAGAATTAGGGGTTGTTAAGTGGACTGACTCAATCCTTTGGTCAGACAGCATGGGATTTAGACTGGCTCATTACCTTACGTTCATTAGCTGCCTTCTCAAAATTTTTAGCAGTCAGAAAGAGGCTAAGAGTAGGAAGCCAGATTATACCAATGACTGTACACACTCACTTCTGAGGATGTTGTATCCTACCCTCACCCCAAGCTCCAGAAGGGATGGTCAGAAAAGAGCTCATTATTAAGCTGGTCCATAGGGGAGCTCGTAATGCTGCCATGCAGAATCAAAGAATCATAGGACAGCTCTATCTGCTCAGAGGTCAGCCCTATCTCCCCCAACAGATCTTCATTTCTTCAACATGCTCAGTTTCCTAAGAGATCAAATCCTAGAATTCGTGAAGCTAGATGATATTCACACACGACCTCGGCTTCTGCCTAAGTAGATGGATTTGGGACCACTCATATTTCAAAGTAATTTTTAAGTCATTTAAAGCTAAAAGCCAGTATGTATAACTTTCTCTTCCATTTTATAAATGAGTGTGAAAAGCAATAGTGCAGGCATATATTTGGCATTAACTCTTATTAGCCACAAAAATGTGGGTCAATATTGGATTTTCCAAAGTTGTCTAAATAAGACTGGGTTTGTCAAAACTTGCCAGATGCTTTCAAGTGAACATAGTACGTTGGCGGAAACAAAATGTAATGTCTAAAAGACACAAAATAGGTCAGCACTCTGCAAAAGTAAACTTGTCAGTGAGATCAATATGAACCTACAAGTTAATGGGGATATCAGACTTTCTTTACAATAAGGGATATGCAGGGTAAAGCCAGAATATAACACTTGTGAAAAGCAGAGGATATATGTAAATAAATTTTTTGTATCCTTAATAAAGGCACTGCTTTTTAATGTTCTCTAGCTAAGCACAGTCTAAATTAATAGAACATCATAGTAAATGAAATTATGGTTCATTTGCTTGGTTTTCAGCAATATTAAAAAAAGTGGGGAGATGATGATCAAATATCCCAAAAATTTTAGAAATATTATGAAATCCTTCATTAGCTGCCTCTAGGTTACACATTTCAGAAATTTTGACATAAGAGTGACATCAATAAAAAAAAATTTGAAGGGAAAAAAAAAACACACCCAACCCCAAAAAACAACCCAGTAACAGAAAGACCTTTCATGGGGCATCTCATTGTATTTATTTCATTTTAAAAAAATATACATCATTTATTGAATACATAAAATGCCAGTGCTTTGCAATAGTTTTCTTACTGCATCTTTAAATGTAAAAATTTTAAAAAAGAAGAAAGGGGAGAAACCAAAAAAAAAAAATACATTCAAAATGTGAGGCTGTTCTGCTTACGGAGGGGCAGCGGCTTTGGAAAGCTACAGCCTACACTGTGACTGTTCAGAGACAAGGCTGAACATCAGTCAGCTACCCATGAAAAGTTACACAGAAAGCATTAAAGGATACAAAGAACAACTTCATAGGGAGCAAGAGGAGTGGGGAATTAAGCAAAATGCCACATATGTCATTGGGAGGGAGTGGACTGAGCCAGAATCAGGCATAGGGATTGATGATATTGAAAACAGTATTTATGGGAAGATATAGAAGAAACAGTAACATGTTTGGCAAGCTAGAGAGAGAGAGTGTGTGTGTGTGTGTGTCTGTGTGTGTGTGTGCACACTTCTAATTTTCTACTTGACTCTCCAATAGAAATGTAACAAAACTGAGGTAGAAATGAATGTGGGAGCACTACTGCCCAGGGGATTTCAAAATGAGAAGCAAAATTGCACTGACAAGAGAGGAGTGAAAAAAGAAAGGAAGGAGATGGAGAGAAGATACATACCTACACATATCTTCAAACACTTCAATATGAAAGTAACAATGATGCCTATGGTTTTTGTCGTTATTTGTGTGTTTGGTTGAGATACTCTGCATTCTAATAAGCAGTATGGCAAGCCTATGAACTAGATTAGTGGACTAGAATGACACCATTCCCAGCAGTTTTAAGTGATAACTTGCAAACTACCACCACCACCACCACCACACTCCAGTAAAAGACAGTTGGGGAGTTTTCAGGTACTGTGACTTCCAGGGTCCTAAACAGGCTGACTGTTCTACACACTAACACAAACTGAGTTAAGTAGCTTTCCATTATAACCAGTGTACCTTTTAAGAACATTTTCACTTAATTATCAAGGAGCAGTGTAGTCAGATCTGTTGCAGTTATTGACATAAAGAATTATTCTGCTCTGGTTAATTCCCCATAATTAGTAAAGAACCTTTTTCTTTTATAAAAAATCCTTCCATTTTTACTTTAGATTGCAAATATTCAGTTGTATCACATGTCAGTATTTTTCTGGATACATTCAGGGTAATTTTCCTTGCTATTTTCCAATTGTTGAGGTAAACATACATTTCAATATAAAGTAACAATGACACCTATCCTATTACTCTCAGCAGTACATAGTGCTTTCAACACATTCCTTTGAGGTACTGTACAAATCACAATCGCTTTCCTGAGTTTTTGCAGACAAGAACATTAAAAGAAATGAACTGCAGAAATTAAGGTCCAGATTACCGTTACCCTGTTTTACCTGTTCTCAGCTTAATACCACAGAACAGACAGGATTGAGGAATACTGTTGCTCTTAAAATGGCAAAAATCTGGTTTTTCTGTCGTAACACAAACTGTTCATCTCTTTTGTCCAATAATGTTTGAAGTTAAAGCTCTTTATATTAGCACATGCCACCAATGTAATTGTGAGGCAAACAAAAAATAAAGCACCACTCCAGGCACTTGACAGCAACTAAATCTCGAGAACAGCAGAATGGAATCAACACACGAGGTTCATGTCCTTCTGAAATCAACACACTTGCACCTTGCTCCTTGGCGAGCGTTGTCTAGCTTGAACTTACTGAGCATCAACATATGCTTTCTTTTTTTTTGTCATCTGGGGCTTTTAAAATCAGCTCTCATTTGATGCACTTTTCCTCCAAACACTACCCTGACGCGAAAGATGCAACTTAATTGTTGTCTTCCCCAGTACCCATTGCAATTTAAACACTACTGGAAAGGGGCTCTAGACCCTATATAGCAGGTTTTATGTGTGTGTGCCAACATTCATTACATTTTTTTTAAAAGAACTTATCACTGACTGCAACCAAACATTTTGTTCCATTCAACATACATATCGAGCTCTTTTTGAGATATGCTAGGCTGAATCTTGCAGAAAGCGTTCTCAAAGTCTTGATATGTAACTGGCCTCAGCTGGCTGGGCATAATGGCTGAAAGGTCTGTGGCTGGCATGGCGTGGAGGGGGCCCACCGCTGCTTCCTGACACAAATGAGCCACGTCTAGTCCAGAAAAGCCTTCTGTGCGCTGGACGAGCAGTGCAAACTCCTTGTCATTGAGACAGTAATTGTGCTGTGAGAGCAGCTGTACTATTATCTGGTGCCTCGCTGTGCTGTCAGGAAGTGGGATGAAAAGTCGTTTCATGAAGTACCTCCGAAGAGATTCGTCTATTTCTTCTGGTTTACTGGTGGCACAAATGACGACGATTTGGTCCTCAGCCGAAGTGAGTACACTGTCCAGTTGCATCAGAAACTCGGTTCTCATCCGACTGACTGGACTGTGCTCCTCACTCACTTGAGAGGAGAGAAGCATGTCAATGTCACTGACGAAAATCACCGAGGGCTGGCGACACCTGGCTACGAGAAACGAGGCGTGGATGATTTTCTCGGCTTCTCCTAACCACTTGGCGACTAGTCCAGAACCAGCAATTTTGAAAAAGGTGGCCCCCAACTGACTAGCTATGCATCTGCCCAATAATGTTTTGCCTGTCCCCCGAGGTCCAAATAAGAGGATGCTTCGAGGTAAGGCTGTCAGTCCACTGAATGCGTCTGACCTCAACACTGGCCACAAAACCTCCTCTTTAATGACGGCTTTTATCAGGTCGAGACCAGCAATGTCGCTCCAGTCCACTGGAGGTCCTTGGGTGATAATCTCATTGGTTACCAGGTCGATGAGGTGTGTGTCCGTATTCTTCAGTTGCTCGTCCACAGAGTGATTGGATGAGGTAGCTGCACGGAGCCCGGGGCCTTGCATTGGGTGGGAGAGGAGTTGCCTGTGCTCGTCCCCGTGCTCACCCATTACTGGCGACGTGTACTTCCCAAACGATTCACTGGATCTTGAGCCCAGCGAATTTTTAGCGGTGCTGTAGGACGGGGGGGTCAGAGCCCTACTGGACTGGCTGCTGAATTTCCTTTGCTGTTCAGAGGACATTAGCTGCTTCGTTGGCTTAAATGCTAAGGATGATGTTTCAGCACTTCTGTCAAAGCCATTCCCCCGGTTTGTGTTTGAAATGCTGTTGTCGGGCATTCTGTACATAGGACTCTGTGTAGATCTCTGTTGGCCATAGCTGTAATTTCCATAACTGGAGTCCATATCTCCTTGCCCTGCCATATAGAAGGCTTTCCTTTTGAGAGAACTAGCGGAACTGTTTGTCAGAGCCGATGGTGCGATAGGTGTCAAACCATGGCCCTGGTAGGTGTAGCCAGGAACAGTGGTGGGAGGCAGCGGGGTAGGAGCAGGGATTCCTGAAGGCAGGTATGCTGAAGGAGGAGGGGGTGCCCCGCCAGGGCTGTACCCAGACCCCACAGCAGTCTGAGGAGGATAGCTAGCAGAAGGATAGCTGTAACTGGAGAGGTTAGAAGTCCCATTGTAGCCTGGGACCAAGGCTGGAGGCGGAGGAGGTGGTGGTGGCGGCTGAAGGAGCCCAGAGCTATGCAAAGGAGACGGATGAGGTGAAGGAAGTGCAGGTGCTGGCTGGCTACTGTAAGTAGAATGCAAATAGGAGCCATTGTATCCTGGGGCATATTCCTGAGACGGGAGCCCTGCGTGGAGACTAGGAACAGTGTGGCTTCCACAGGTACTACTCGAGTAACTAGGTTCTGTCAGGTTGCTGGCCACCCCAGGGGAGCTCCCTAGACTTGCAGAGACATCTGCTGGCGGGAGCGCTGAACTGACTCCAGCTTTGCTGGCAGTGATGACGTCTGGAACACAGTTCATAGGATACACAGCATCTGAATTCAAGGAAGGCTGCCAGGGTTCACTTTCATTTTTTCGACCATTCACTAGTCCTGATGGTGCATCCGAGTAGTTGCTGAGTACAGGCCGATCCACTGGGCCTTCCAAAATGCCAGAATACTTCTCTGCATACTTTTTCAGTAAATTGGATGCAGTCAGAGCAGATATGTCATCATTCGCCCAGGCGTACTGGTAGGTGCGCTGCAAGTGACCTCTGTAGGCTTCAACTTTGTGGGCAGGAGACCGAGTGGTTGAAGTGATGTCAAAGTGCTGTTCTGGCCACTGGGCATGCTCCGGCGTCCACTGCATCTTCAAGCCTACGGATTTCAGGGGGGAAAACAGTTCGTTTACTTAGACAGTCATTAGAAATATTAGAGCCCACACCCACCAACTTCTATTACATACTCTTTTCCAATAAAGATATCCACATTATAAAGGCTTATCATAGCTTTTAATACTTGTTGCAATCGCTATAATATGTACCCTTTAAAATGGATGAAATTTCAACTCTGCATAAAAAGTAAACAGAATTTCAAGGAAAACTATAGAAGAACTAACCTTTCCCCTTTAAAAAAAGAAAAGAACAAATCTGCTTTTATTAAAAGGAACTCATGAAATTACCTGCTACACACACATAGACACATATTCACATCATATTTGAGTTCAAGCACTGGCTCTCATGATAAAATATGCATACATTTTAAATACTTAGCATGTGCCAGCATTGACATGTACCAGATTCAGCTTTTCTGTCTCTTCACATCATAGTTTCTATTTTAAATTTTAACCAATATAAAAATGAGACACAGCTGACAGATCGCATCTAGGATACCTCTCTTATTTGGTACTGAACACCTAGTTAGCACAGTATAATGCTCCCTGCGCAGAACAATATGACACAGACATAGCAGGTCATTCCATAATCCAACTCTCATCTAAAGTGGTCCACGACAGTTTCAAATCTGCTTCGTGGAGTGCAGCAAAGCAATCTCCCAGGCAGCGCTCCATCGCTTTCATCACACAAAGCCTACAACTCGGTATGAATTACAACTGGCTCCTTTCTGCCTCTCAGTTCTGTTGTTGAATCTCTGGGAAAAAAAACAAGCATCACTTGTCTGTCGGTCTTCTTGAATTCTCCTTCCTTCTCTTAAAATCCCCCCATCCCGGCCAGGTACAAACAGCTGAAGTACTAAGAGGGAGAGATAATCTTTGTGTAATGCATTTTATATGTGTGTGTGTGTGTGTGTGTGTGTGTGTGTGTGTGTGTGTATGTATATATATTTAAGGATAAGAACAGAGAGAGAATCTGATTTCTAACTGATTCAATTTTTATAGGAAGCAATGTATAACATATACCCTGAGAATATTCTAGCTGATAAAATTGTATGGTTAATTCTATCGGCTACAAGATCACTAAAAACAAAGCAAAGTAACTGTAGCAAAGCATAAGACAAAAATATCTTCTCACTTAAAGAAAATAACTAGGCAATTAAAATCGGAATCACTTGAATATTAAAGTTTCAATAAAATACCTTAGGGATTATTTTATTTCATAGATTAAGAAACTGAGGTCCAGAGAGATTTAGAACTTGCTCCTGAGATCTCATTCAGAGTTAGTTACAGAAGAGTACTAGGACCCGGATCTATCTCCCAGCGCAGGTTCATCTTTGCTAATCTTTGCTTGGTTCCAACACTGCCTTTTATCATACGGCTATATTAAGCAGACTTCCTTAATCTCTTTTGTATTACCCAAAGTGAATTTTGCAAACTGTCTCATGCCCTCTGGCACAGATTCCTTGATAAGGAAGAGGCCTGGTCTAAATGAAGCATCTGTGGCATCAGCTCCCTTCTGAATTGCCAGTCTATTTTGACAGCTCCTACACCCTTTTGTTCTCGCCCAACTCCTTTAGCTCTTCATTGCCTGGCTCTGGCTTCTGACATGGCCAGATTAGACTCACCGAGTTAAACAGCACAGAGCATACAGTTTGGTAACAGAATGGCATGTTGATTCCCTTCTGACTCCCTCTTCCTTGTTTGCAAAACCACTGCACCAGACACTGGAAGTTAATTAGCAGGATGATGCTGTGCTAATTGTGTTAATTTACAAGGTTTTAGTCAAAGAGAATCATGCCAGGGCTGGCACTGCTGTCATGCTTCCGACTTAATGATTAAGAAATACTGAAAACAAGGTGGGAAGGATTGCAGTAATTACACAATAAATGAATAAAGCAACAGGATTCATTTGCAAATATATTTTATTGCAGTTGTACTCATTTGCATTTGGATTTTTAAAAGGATTCATGTAGATATTCATTTGCAAATCACCATTTCAGTTAAATTAGGTCTGAACACTGCACAGTATAAGTTAATAGAGATGTTTGTCTATATATATTATTTTTAAGTAAAAATTCTAAAGACCTGACTTCTTCTATATATACAACAGATTGGAAAATTCCCCTGTAGTGTATCCCTAAAAATTTTCATGTTTTTATCTTCTAAAAAATCTATTTTAAAAATAATCTCATCAAATTGAGCAAAACATTATAGAGTCTGAATGAGCCTGTATCTTCTCACTCAGAGAAACTCTGGAGTGATTTCGAGGAAGAACTAAAGTGATATTCTTAATTGTTTCACTTTCTCAGTCATTACTTTTTAAGGGGGAAGAAAATACACCACAAAATGGGTGAAATGACCGAAACCACACTTAAAGGGGAAAAGATGCAATTTTAATGAAGCAGCATTTCAGGAATCATACTTTCATTAAATTCAACTGGAAAATATTAAAAGCAAATCACCAGGAACCAATCGCAAGTAATCAGTATCTAAATTCTTCTAGTGTCATGGGATTTACTTCAGGCCTTATAAAAGGAAAGAATATTAATGTGACTGTAACATAAAACTGTCTAAGACAAGCAATTTCATTAGTCCTGTAAACATTTCTAGGGAATTTCCATTAAGATTTTTTGTCTTTAAAAGATTATAAAAATATAGAGTTGGGAAAATAAGAAAACACATAAGTTAGGAATATCAAATTAATTAGGCTTATAGGAGAAACATTAATAAATGTCTTGAAACAAAATCACAGAAAATAATTTAGTATACACAGGCAATGGAATTTACTACCTATCTCTCTCCTCCCCAATCACACACACACACACACACACACACACACACACACACACAATCACACACCCCCACCACATCACATCCCACCTTACATATTACACCACACATGTAACTTAAAGGGCATGGTTTTCAGTTAGCTAAGTCATTCCTGGTATTAGTTAATAAATATACAAACCAAACATGATTTGAAAATGTTTCCCCTTTAAGAGAAAAAAAAAAAGCATTTCAATTGAGAATAATTTGGAAAAGGCAACTCTTCTCAGTTATTGGCTTACATTTTTATCCTTGTAAGTTAATAATTTATGCAAAATGAATTTAATAAAATTCATTGACTATAAAAGGGGTGTGTATAGTTGAAATACAACAGGTTGGCCATCTTCACTGAGTGTTTCTGCATAGTTTAACAAAACTAATTAAATTTCATAAGATTTTTCGATTTCATCTGAAATTAAGCAAAGATCCTATCCATCAAAATTGTTTATTTGGAACAATTACTGGACACACCATTGCCTTTTTATTCTCATGCTATTTTTGGATGTGCTCACCAAGATAATTGAAAGTTTATTTATCGATGCATACTAAATAACAATAACCTTAGTGAGGCTGCAAAAGGCAAGACTGAGCTTTGATTAAATAACCTTCAGGGTATGGGACTGTTCACATCCTCTCAAACATGAGTATTTATTCCGTTGTTTTGAAGTCATTAATGTTACTTGAAAGCACAAGTTAATAGTTAACCGTAAGCTAGTCCTTCCTATTAGCATGTGCCAAAGAAGATCGGATTCAGGAGACCGTCCCAGCCTTGGGAGCACAAAGAGCCTTTTCATTAGTTCCTTGAATTCTGACACTAATTTGAAATAGCGCCAAACTTGGATATTGTTGTTGTTATTCTGTTTATTAGTAGTCATGTTTCCGATGTGAAATTAAAGGAAAATGCAGAGCCAAATGCTCTTTGAATAATAATAATAAAAAAAATCATGCTCCATTTGATTATATTGTTGTTTTCTATGAGTGAGGAGAGGCACACACATGTCACTTCGCTTGGCACCCAAATAATAAAACAGGTTTTAAAAACAGCTTTTATATGGCTTCTCTGTGGAACATGAAGAGAAAAAACTCTGAGACAACATTATTTTCATGTTATTAGAAACAGGACTCTGGAACAATAATTCCCACTATTGTTTGGAAATAGCTTCAATAGGTATAATAAAAAAAATTCAGTAAACAGAAGAAAGTAAGAAAATAGTTCTTAACAATAACTGAAGAATAGTTAAGTTCCACATATCAATTATTGATTTGGAAAGGGATTAAGATATTCTTAAAATACAGCTTGCAAATTTCACAATGCATTGTGTTTGCTTTAAAAAAATTGCTTTTAAAAGAATTTACCATGAGGAAAAGCCTGAGAATTTTGCTCTTATTGTTATATAATAACACACACACACACACACACACACACACACACACACACACACACACACACGTATTTATGTTGTAGTATTGACCCATGGCTGCTGAGCCTCTGGTGGGTTTTCAGAAGCAGTTAATTGTACGGGAGGAGACTGGTCATCTATACACTACTTATAGACACATACAACCATGTATTTTCCATAAAATAAGATAGTTGAGAAGTACTTTTCATTCTGCTCATTACTGACTGTTCATTGCATGCCTTAGATTTAATTCCTAAATAATTACTGTCTTATCATTTTAATGCCTCTATTTCATTCTTCACTTGACTGCTTCTGTTGCATGTGCTAGGTTGTTTTGGAACTAAAACCATTGTGGCAACTTCTAAAGTTCTGCCACAACTTCAAAAGGATAAGCTATTACAGATGAAAAGGAAGTGTATGAAAACAATTTCAGAATGTGAGGACACTGGAAATTAAAGGCTAGGTCTTCTAGAATCAACTGTTGGTACACAGTACTGGAAATAGCAATCAAAGGCACTCACTACCCTTCCTCCACCCTAACACACACATGCTGTTCAACAGTTCACCAAGCCTAAAAAAGTAGCTTTCTACAAGGTTCCTATAGGGTAATTCTAGCTGCTAGGGATATGGCCTTCATTTGTAGGTTTTCTCAGACTTCCTCAGGGCAGGGACCTGAGGCAAACACCTGCAGGCATAACAGCTCCTTTGCTCTGGGACAGCTGCATTAATGCTTCTACAGCCCGGTTATGGCCA